TTCTTTCATGTGTTTGTTGGCAGTCTGTATATCTTCTTTGGAGAAATGTCTATTTAGGTCTTCTGCCCATTTTTGGATTGGGTTGTTTATTTTTTTGTTATTGAGCTGCATGAGCTGCCTGTAAATTTTAGAGATTAATCCTTTGTCAGTTGATTCATTTGCAAATATTTTCTCCCATTCTGAGGGCTGTCTTTTGGTCTTGTTTATGGTTTCCTTTGCTGTGCAAAAGCTTTGAAGTTTCATTAGGTCCCATTTGTTTATTTTTGTTTTTATCTCCATTACTCTAGGAGATGGGTCAAGAAGGATCTTGCTGTGATTTATGTCATAGAGTGTTCTGCCTATTGCTATAACACACTCTTAATTCTGATTCTTAAATATTTCAGTAAATTGTAGGGAATGAAAGATGAGGATTTAAATGATTAACAATATGTGAAAACTTATTTAATAAAATTCCTTACTTACTTTTCTGAATGCAAGATAAACTAGGTAGCACTCTAAAATGTAATTTACAAAATAACAAGTGTCAATATTTCGAGTAAACATTTCATATTCTAAAAATGCTTAATATTTTTGTCAGGTTTCTCAAATCAGGATGCACATAACTTGTTGGCAGTTATGAATAAATACGTTGCCAGAGTTAAGGAAAGCCACTGGCAAGAGGGCCCTTAGAACTATATGCTGGATTCTCCCAATGGGTAACTACAAGTATCAGGAAACTTTATGGTGTTAATTTGAGGAAGAATTCTCTGGGGAAAATTCTTCTTTTCATCATTTTCTAAAGAAAACCATCGTTTAACACTACTCAGCCATAAAAAAGAATGACATTTTGCCATTTGCAACAACATGGATGGACTTGGAGGGCATTATGCTAAGTGAAATAAGTCAGACAGAAAGACAAATACTGTACGATATCACTTATACGTGGAGTCTAAAAAATACAACACACTAGTGAATATAGCAAAAAAGAAACTCACAGATCTAGACAACAAATTTGTGGTTACCAGCGGGGAAGGGCATGATAGGGGTAGGGGATTAGGCGACGCAAACTACTATGTATAAAATAAATAAGCTACAAGGATGTATTGTACAACACAGGGAATATAGCCAATAGTTCATAATAATTACAAATGGACTATATCCTTTAAAGATTGTGAATCACTATGTTGTACAACTGAAAATTATATAATATTGTACATCAACTATACCTCAATTTTTTTTTTTTTTAAAAGAAAGTCATTGTGTTTAATGCTATGGAGCAATAATATGTCTAAGAATCAGACACCTGGAATGTTTGGTCTCATTCTAAGAATATACAGATCATTAGAAATTAGCCCACAACTTTATCTTAATAGGATTTTGTCTTGTTGAAACATCTGAATTTCAAAGGTTAAAAGAACAATTAAGCTTTTTTTCTACGTCAGGAAACAATAAAATGATACAACCATCATGGTATATGCACAAAAGAAATTTCCCTCTTTTTTATGGGAGAGTCTGCCTTATAGTTTTTAGCCTCATCAGGTTGACACATTACAAAGTCACTACTGTTGACAAAAACATTTTAGGATCTACGATCTAAGTAGGGAGTCTAACTAACTAGTGATGATATCTCCTAGAGATCTTTTTGGGAACTTGGGTAGACCAGTCTCCTCATTTTAACTGTCATGAAATAACTGGAGATGCTGAAAGAACTCAGGTGCCCAAGAATGTGAACCTTGTTCACAACTGGAGTAGAAATATGTAAACCTTTCACCAACATTTCCAGGGAAGTTGGATATAGGAAAAGAAAATGACATTTATGGCAGACTGCTGGTTATTCTCTAATATTCAGTTTCCATTTTTTCTGTAGTAGTCTGGCTCCTAATTTTCATCTGGGCTTATGACCATCCTGAAAAAAGACTGCTAGTTTATAGTTAGTTATGGACAGTCAACTAAGTGCTGCTCAATGGGATGCAAGTATATGTGGTGTATGCAATTTCTGGGATGTGTTGTTAAGAGAAGGATACATCCTTCTTTTATTTCTTCTTTCTTGCTAGGTAGATTGAAGATGCCATGCTTGGAGCTGTAGCAGTCATTTTGAACTGTGAAGGTTGCCTCAGCAATGGAGATCGAATACATCAGAGCAACAGGATAGAAATAATGTGGCTCCCTCATATAGGAAAGTCCTGTATCACTTACCTCCAGACATTGGTGTTGATCAAAATCCTGACCACTGCCTAGGTAGATGTAAGTACTATCCTCTCTATATAAAGTTACATGATGACTACAGAGTCATCTTGGTAAGATTTCTGCTTTCAGATTTTCGTGAGTAAAAGGTTGTTTCCACCAATTGTTAAAAATCTTGTCTATCTTGTTAACATTAATAACCAGAGGATATTGTTTGTAGCCATGGAACAGAGAGAGGTTAACTAGTTTGAATTGGATCAGATCTTGTAATTGTAACTTAATTACTATAAATTAATTGATATAATTTACATAAAGATGTTTGTCTTCTCTTGCAAGAGCCAGAATTTTAAGTTAGAATTATATTTTTCATGAATTTGTGTATTCGTTGTGCTTTTTTTTTTTTTAATTTTAAATTTGGGTTTATTTTTCTTCTGCTCTGCATTAGTTGCCTTATAAATGATTTTTTTTTAAATTTTTTTTAACATCTTTATTGGGGTATAATTGCTTTACAATGGTGTGTTAGTTTCTGCTTTATAACAGAGTGAGTCAGTTATACATATATATATGTTCCCATATCTCTTCCCTCTTTGTCTCCCTCCCTCCCCCCCTCCCTATCCCACCCCTCCAGACAGCCACAAAGAACCGAGCCGGTTTCCCTGTGCCATGCGGCTGCTTCCCACTGGCTATCTACCTTACGTCTGTTAGTATATATATGTCCATGTCTCTCTCTCGCCCTAACACACTTCACCCTTCCCCCTCCCCATATCCTCAAGTCTGTTCTCCAGTAGGTCTCTGTCTTTATTCCTGTTTTACCCCTAGGTTCTTCATAACATTTCTTTTTTCTTCAATTCCATATATATGTGTTAGCATACGGTATTTGTCCTTCTCTTTCTGACTTACTTCACTCTGTATGACAGACTCTAGATCTATCCACCTCACTACAAATAGCTCAATTTCGTTTCTTTTTATGGCTGAGGAATATTTCATCGTATATATGTGCCACATCTTCTTTATCCATTCATCCGACGGCGGGCACTTAGGTTGTTTCCATCTCCGGGCTATTGTAAATAGAGCTGCAATGAACATTTTGGTACATGACTCTTTCTGAATTCTGGTTTCCTCAGGGTATATACCTAGTAGTGGGATTGCTGGGTCATATGGTAGTTCTATTTGTAGTTTTTTAAGGAACCTCCATACTGTTCTCCATAGTGGCTGAACCAATTTACATTCCCACCAGCAGTGCAAGAGGGTTCCCTTTTCTCCACACCCTCTCCAGCATTTATTGTTTCTAGATTTTTTGATGATGGCCATTCTGACTGGTGTGAGATGATATCTCACTGTAGTTTTGATTTGCATTTCTCTAATGATTAATGATGTTGAGCATTCTTTCATGTGTTTGTTGGCAGTCTGTATATCTTCTTTGGAGAAATGTCTATTTAGGTCTTCTGCCCATTTGTCTTCTCTTGCAAGAGCCAGAATTTTAAGTTAGAATTATATTTTTCATGAATTTGTGTATTCGTTGTGCTTATTAACATTTCAGTTATTAGTTAATTTTTAGTACAGTAGTTTATTATTTTAAAAATGGCTTCTCTTTTAATTAAAACTCTTTCGCTTAGCTTTTGCAAAGATCATAAGTGAACTTTTTTGCCACTTCTTGTAAAATTGCTACTCTTCTCTTTTTATTTTTCAATCTATTTTTAATTTAAAAATGTATTGAGGTATTGTTTCAGGTGTACAACATAAAATTACTACTCTTCTCGCTTGCACTTTTACAGATGAAACAACTGAAATATTTGATTTTCTTTAAAAGTTTTAATTTCTAATTAAAAAGTGTCTTATTTAATGCTCTCTTCTGGATTCTCTCATTCTGATTTATTACGAGAATTGACCTTCATATTTGACAAGGAGGTCATTGATAACCCTGTGAAGGTGGAGGAAGCCGTTTGGACTGAGATGAGGGAAGAATATGAAAAAGTGGAGATAGTGCCTGCAGAAGATGTTTGCGTAAGTTTTTCTGAAAAGCCGATAACCAGAATTTCACATGCTCATGAGAAAGATCTGGTAGAGAAGGAGTTCCAGGAACAATTTAACTCAACACAAAGGAGCCATTATCTATGCAAGACATGATGGATGTTCCATTCTTCAAAAATGCTAAATCTCAAGTCTTAAGTGCTTGGCACGTAGACAATCCAGTGGGTCGCTCAGAGTGAAACGGGGAATAAGATAAGCTCACAAACATATAGGCACAGTACCCAGTGCCATTGTAGGAATGAAAATGTAAGAAAAAGGAAGGATAAATCACCTCTACTTGGGTTAAACAGAAAAAGGCTTCAGCGAGGAGAAGGCATTTGAGGAAGTTACCGTTTTTTGGCTCTATAAGTCACGTCAAGGTCAAGTCCTCACAAGGAGGCCTGATCATTATGTCTCAAAGTGATGTTTTTACGTGCGTGCATGCTTTTCTCCTACATTGGACAGGATCTAGAGCAGTGCTTGGGACAGAGTAATCATTCAATATTAAATTACTATAATAAAAACAATATTATGATAGTAAATACTGTCTGGATGAGTAAAGGAGTGAATGCATGTATGCATTAATAAGTGGCAGTGAGCTCCTCAGGGGCGGTGGACCTTGTTTTGATTATCTCTGAACCCCGGTCTCGCTGCGTGTACCGTGTGTATAACTGGCAGTTCACCGGCCGCTCTAATTTCAAAGAGCCGTCTCCAGGGCCAGCCTGGCTGGGGCGGGGTTCCAAGCCCCGGGCCGGGAGCGACGACTCCAGGCGGTAGGGGGCGCCGGCGTGCGGCTGGGCCGGTCCCCCGGCACCACCCGCGCGAAGCCGGACCCGGGTCTACGCCATGCGCGTGCGGCTACCACTGCTGCGCACCAGCTGGGCCTGGCGCTTGGGCGCTCCGGCTGCCGCCGCCGCCGCCGCCACCGCCTGCCTGCCGCGGGGAGCGAGCGCAGGGTCCTGGCCGCGCCGCGCCATGGCTTTTTACCGCACAGAGGAGCGCGGCCAGCCCCACTCTCCCGGTTACCGCCTCTTTTTCAGTAAGTAGCTCGAGGGGGTCCCACCGCGCGCCGCGCCGGAGGCTCGGGATGGGAGCGCGGCCTCCATCCCTCCCTCTTTCGGGCCCGCCGCGATC